AAAAATTCAAAATATAATTTCAGGCTTATTAAAGTAGCTCAGATGAACTCATTTCCGTATACAACCCAAAATGCTCTGGACATTGTTTCATATGACCTTTAAATGGTGTAATTTACAAGGAATCATTCTCCTATCCACCCACTCTTCATTTTGAACAGGTTGGGGGAGCTGAGGAGGAACTGAAACTGGCTGTCCAGTGGGATCAGCTGTAATCTCTCATATTTCAATGTATAAAGTGTAAGTCAGCGAGACTTACATACCCTATTGTATATTACAGAATAATATTTTACAGAAAAAAAAATGATTTTCTGGACCCATTTTCAAATACAGATTGAACAATAAATAAGATTGATTGATTGTATGTTGTTTTACGTCCCGTTCGAGAACTTTTCACTCATATAGAGAAGCCACCATATACCCGTGAAGAGCTTCAAATATAGGCCTCGGCACTCAGGGCCATTAAGCAGTGAGGGTTCTTTATTGTGCTAACGCCAACCGTGACACGGAGCCTCGGTTTTTAAGGTCTCATCCGAAAGACCTGTAACTTTCACTTCGAAGTGCCGAGCGCTTGGCGAAGGAACAATTGTTATCTATTTTTAAAAAACTTCAATGACGTCATCCATTGTTATTAATATAGGTATGTTTTACCGATTCAACCATCTCCTTTTTTTATTGCTTAATTATGTTTGTATGCAGAGTTGGATATTTAAAGATCCAACTGGCCATCAGTTGGATATTCAAATATCCAGCTGCTTATCGGTTGGATATTTAAATATCCAACTGTGCATACAAACATAATTAAACAATGAAAAAGGAGATAAAAGAGTATTAAATGTATTTCCAATGCACATCAAAAGTAATTACTCCGAATTTGTTAGAATTTATGTCAAATGCACAAGGAATTAATCACTTCGCATTTTTCACACCATTAGAATCGTGTTAAAATGTACTTCCAATGCTCACAAAAATTACAATTCCTCCGAATTTTGCACACTGTTAGACTCTTGTCGTTAATAAGATATTCAATACTTATCCGATGGTATTTGAACAGAATGTTTCCGGTCTTAAATTTTTTGACACGCTTATAAATACTTTTTTACCTTGAACCTTAAACCACGCACTTCACTCCCTGTTGCTAAATATTATTTCAGGGGTCCGTTATGAGTAAATCCACTCAGATTTTTCGAGGTTCATCTCTGTTCTCATACTTTTCCAGCGTACTTCCCAAAACAATTTAATAAATTGACAGCCCATCTATTTTTCGTCACTTTTTTATTGCAGATCTTGATATGGAATATTTTTAAAGCAGGTTCCGCATAACACCGACAATCTTTTCATCTGCTTTATCATTATTAGAAGTATTGTCCGAATAGAACTCCATAAGATTCCAACACTTTTCCTCAACAAATCATCATCTCATATGTAATGATAGATTTCCAACCTTTTATCAAAATTCTGTAGTTTTCTTCTGCTTTCAGGTCAAAAGTATTCAAAACACTATCTGAATTTACTTTAGATTTAAAACTATTCTTCATCTGATTTCATGACTGTTCAGAACAAAGGAAAGGTTTGAAATGACTTCAGCACCATGCAATTTCATGCTCACTAGTCCATGAATAACAGGGGTGTTCGATTAGGCTATTGTATTGTGTCACTGTTGGATATCTAAATGGGCTAGTTCCCATTGTATAACAGCAAAGTTCACTTGGATATATGAATGGTTAAATGTTTCTTTTGGGTCCAGAGTGGGGAAGTTTTTTAAGTAAGATAAATAACTCGATAGTGTTGAATAGTTTAGAGAAAACATCCCCTCCTCGGGCCTTCGGCTACCATAATAAATATTCAGTGAGGGGCTTTGGTCAAGAGTGGGGCTAACATAATAAATATTCAGTGAGGGGCTCTGGTCAAGAGTGGGGCTACCATAATAAATATTCAGTGAGGGGCTTTGGTCAAGAGTGGGGCTAACATAATAAATATTCAGTGAGGGGCTCTTGTCAAGAGTGGGGCTACCATAATAAATATTCAGTGATGGGGCTCTGGTCAAGAGTGGGGCTACCATAATAAATATTCAGTGAAGGGCTTTGTTCAAGAGTGGTGCTACCACAATAAAATTCATTAAATTACCCCAGGTTATATTTGGGGTTTTTTGCCTCATTATCGATGATGTATTTTAAAGTGAAAGTTATGAAAATATAATAAACACGGTAAACGTATAGTTTTGTTGTGAAACATGTTTTTAACCTGGGATAGGACGGGGGACTGGATCTCAAACTCCAAAAGCTATTGAAATTCTTAGGACAAAGCAATAAAACATAATCCCCCCCCCCGGAAACACAGATTTCCTCCCTAGAAATATCATTTTTATTAATATATACTCGAGATCACGTAATCTCGTTTGGGTTGCTGTATTTTTGTATACACACTCGCACTGGTAAACTGTAGGATCGATCGAGAAAGTTCTGCCAAATTATGAATTAATTAAGGTTCATTGATACTCTGATAAGAGAGATAACTCTTAATGACAGAAATGTCTATTATTCCTTTATAGATTTGTCAAGTTGAGATGTCTTCTTTTTTTTTTTTTTTTTTGGTTTAATTTTGCCTTGCAAGATACGATATAACAGTTTGTATTTTACTCATTAGATTTATTAGAACATTTTATATGAGTGAGCAGAGGGTTTATGAACCTTTAACTATTGTTAGTACAAGTTTCACACCTCCAACAAAGGGTTTTTGCTGCTACCAAATCACTTGGTACATTCCAAGTCCAAGCTTCATGGTTGGATAACTATGCCATTGTGTGCATTATTAATGATAGGTTGTAATCATAGAAACAGGACAAGGTCACCGAGCAATGAATGTGGCATGGACCTGATGTGATAAAAAGTCAATAAAATCTACAGAATAAGTAAAAGAAAAAAGATCTCTTTTTATTCCCCTGTCTTTTTTTTCTGAATTAATCAATTTTAGCCAGAATTAAAACATTAAAAATTAAAATTAAAAAATTAAATAAAAATTAAAGCAGAAATTTAAGAAAGGTTTAGTAATTTTGATTGAATATTTATGATTTACCATTTATACTGATGCTTCGACCAGAATTCTCATGGAAAAGTGCAAAAACGTTTATTCACCATCTTGTCTTCGATTGCAATTAACAGATTAAAAGGACACAACAAGAAGTCAAAATATGATTTTTTACAAAGTTCAAATATTGCTTAAGTAGTGTGTAAACTTTCCCTGTTATTGTAGTAAGCTGAGACAATCCAACCATTATACAGATTTTTTTCTGTTTTCGTTTTCTGTGAAATTCTTTGGTTTTCAAGAACAATTTATCCCTTTTACCTCGTAAAACAAATCTTTTCTAATGTCCACAAGATTCATAAGCTCCTGAATTAAAATCCATTAAAGGACTCGTCCCATGTTTCTAAATTACCTGAAATTAAAAGCGCATTATGTCCCTTATGATCATAATTTATAAATTTCGTGATTTTATTGTGGAAATAACACGGTAATTAAACATTATTGATTAAAATTAAAAAAAAAAAACCCTCAGTTAAAAATCCAAGTTAATTAGATAGCGATCACGTGACTATGATACGTCATATGCGACAATGGCTGATCAGCTGTTTACGTTAATCTTACTAAAATGTACGCGATGCAAACTGGATTTTCTGCGTTATGAATGACCAAATCACTGATTTTATCTGTATGAAATTGAATATTCAACCTTTTTTTTAACTGTTAGCAAGAAAAAATACGAAAAATATATGAAAACATGGTAAATTAACCTGTTAACAGTGTTGATAGCGAGGGAGACGAATCTTAAATCAAATCATAATGTAATTACTTGAGCGACTGAACGTCATTGAAATCAAAGGGGGAACGCGGGACCGGGGTAATTGATAATAATACCTAAAGTTTGAAATGGTGACGGGATATTTACTTATTATCCTTTCTTCTATAATCATATATTAGTTACTGTTATTGAAACTGACAAGCTCTGCAATAAATCAGCAAGTTTTTTCGAAATTTAAATTTTTTATTTTCTCAATAACATCATTATACCATGTATACCTACACAGTAGACCGTTTATAATATTTACATGCATATATTTATAAATTCATCTTTAAATAAATGTTTATACTTTAATTAGAACAAGTTCATACTTCTATAGTTATTTAAAAGCATGTAAGATTTAGATTTTTCCTTATTACCCTGCATTTGTCGTTGATAACTTCGTTAAAAGTATACAGTTTCTCATCTAGCTATCACTAAATTGTCGCATATGACGTCACAGCAGTATGGCGCCGAAATCCGATTGAAATATGCATATCGCCGTATTTGAATTTCAACCTTAAATTTCTCTTAAAATATGCTTACAACAACCTTTATTTTTTCAATATTTTAATAAACAAGGTTGTAGATAATATTTTTCATAAAATTACGGATTTTTAAAAAAAACATGTGACAAGACTATCTTCATACAGAGATTCTGTATATGCAGAAATGAACCTTATTGTGTTCGACAACTACTCACTTTGGACCGTCACATGACTTGTTGCAGATAGGTAGATATACCCCTGAGGGATATAATTATCACATTTGGGCCGTACAAAATGGTAACAGTCAGGATTAAATCATCATTATCTTGATTAAATAACAAGAAACACACTAAGAATTGTAATGAAATAGATAGAGACACAAAGGGTTTAATTTCTCGCGTGAAACATGTACTAAGTATGTTGTTAAACCTTCCCCTCGCCTGTTCTTCTTATAGAAAAAAAAACAGAACCCCCATCCCCCGTTCCGGACCAGCCATTGCATTTATTCGTGTAATTGCAGGATAAAGAAATAAGTAAAACAAAAACAAATTGCTATTATATTTCTTTTGAAAGTCCTTGTTTTTATTCCTCCTTCTTACTGGCACTTTTGACAGTTTGAACAAGAAGCACCACAAAAAAAAATTTGACTTGATAAAATGAGTTTTAAAAAGGTTTTCATTATATTTCTTTAAATTCTAAGGAAATGGGGGAGGTATCATAACAGAGTCAATGGTGTGGATGACTCCATTGCTGACTGTCATGTCCGTCTTCACGATTTTGTACTTTCGATCAATAATCAATAAACCTGAAATCAAACATTTGTTTAAATCAGTGTATCACACATTGATACCAGGAATCAAAGTCAAGGAAGAATTATGTGGTTTGAAATTTTCATGAAAAAAAAAATCGTGAAAAAGCAGAAATAACGTAAACACATCATGAGTTAATATCAGTGAGTAGAACAAACTCACCGTCTACATCGAGAGTGAAAACAAGTTGTCCTCCCTCTATGGTAGGCAGGAATGTGTCATGAATCCCAGGATGTGACGTGTTGTAAGGCAGCAGACCAACTTTGTATTTACTTCCACCAATTAAATGATAAGTTACAACACCTACATGAATGAAATGCATTCAATAAACTAAATACATGTAACAATCATGCATTGAATTAGTAAATTTAGAGTTGAAGAAAAATAGGATTACGTTCTGCCGCTGTTTTGTTTTTCAGTAATGAGTCTACTGTTCCTGGTGGCAGCTTATTAAATGCATCATCGGGAGGCGCAAACAAAGTAAATGGACCGCCATCTAAAACGGAATATATTCAATAATGTTTAGATGCTCACCATTTTCAGAATAAAGCAAGAAATGGTAAGAAAAAAAAAACAAACAAACAAAATTGCTCCTGAAAATTTCATAAAAAGTTTGCAAACAAAGGAACGCTTTAGCGGAATAATAGGCACAAGCCTGGATGGTCAGTGTTCCCGTTTTTCCTCCCATCATACCGATAGCCATTCTGAAGTCATTTGAACCAAAACGGAAACTTTTGTGTGTAAAGAAGAAAAGCTAAAAACTGTCCATTATGTGAAGGAAAATTTCTCGATCATTTCTTCTCTAAAACTAAGCAAAAAGCAAATTTAAGAAAAGTGAGGTCATGGTCACAGGAAAGTTCAAGGTCAAACATTTTTTATGCAGTTGAATAGTTCTCACAAATATATATAAGCATATTAAGTTTGATAAAAATATTTTGAATGGTTTATTTAAAACTGAGCTTAACACTTATTTAAAATAAATGAAGTTAAGGTCAAAGGAAAGGTTAAGGTCAAAAAATGTTGATGCAGTTGAAAAGCTTACATCAGTATGCATAAGCATGTGAAGTTTGATAAAAATATTATGAATGGTTTCTTTAAATCAAAGTTAAACTTGAGGTCAAGGTCAAATGAAAGGTCAAGGTATAAAATGTCTCTGCAGTTTAATTGCTTACATCAGTATGTATCAGCATATGAAGTTTGACACTAATTTAAGAAAAGTGAGGTCAAGGTCAAATGAAAAGTCAATGTCAAAAAATGTTGATGCAGTTGAATAGCTTTCATCAGCATGTATCAGCATATGAAGTTTGATAAAAAATATCTTGAAAAGCTTCTTTAAAACTGAGCTAAACACTTATTTAAGAAAAGTGAGGTCAAGGTCAAAGGAAAGGTCAAGATCAAAAAATGTTGATGCAGTTGAATAGCTCTAATCAGTATGTATCAACATATGAAGTTTGATTACACTATCTTAAATGGTATCTTTTAAACTGAGCTAAACACTAATGGACTGTTTTAGGGGGTTTGTAAACAAAAGTTATATAGCTTTTGTCTTTCAGAAGGACAAAGTTATCTCTAATATCTCATGACAGGACAAGCTTTTTCACTATGTGTAATATAACAATTGAAGTTTAAATAGATTCGTTGTTTTGTTGTTTAACGTCCCTCTCGAGAATTTTTCTCTCATATGGAGACGCCACCACTTGCCGATGGAGGGCTGCAAATTTATACCTATACTCAGCACTCAGGGCCATTGAGCAGTGAGGGATCTTTTTCGTGCCAACACCCACTGCGACACGGGACCTCGGTTCAAATAGAAAAACCACATGAGTATAAAAACATGCAATTTTCTCCGAATGCCCGGATACCTATAGATTTTTATTCTAAAATTTATTTGTTCAATTTTCAATTAGAAAATGCATAGCTGTTGCTTATATGCATAGCTGTTGCCTCTATTCTCGTTTCCTGAAAATATACATGTATTTGAAATTTTATCAATTTCCCTTAAAAAAAATGATAAATGATAATTATGAACTTTTAAAGATCCTTACTATTTAAGAAATATCATAGGTAAAAACAACCTGGAGATCGGACTACATGTACATGTATCTTACAAGCAGAGTGACGGAGACAGGCGACAAACAATATGCATGAAAAATTTGACTGGTTACTAGGAAAATTTCTTTAGTCAGGTCCCTTTGTTAATCATGAAGCAAAACTTTCTCGCTACAATATTTATAGAGAAGAATACGTTTTAAAAATAATAGTGCATTAATTTAGCTCGCCATTATCATCTATAGTCAGTAAAATAGCCAAATATGAAACAGATATGGCACACTATTTTATGTCTTTCACTGGGATATATCGAGTCGGCAACTGTTGTTAATTGATAAAACGTCGTCGATGTATCTAAATGTTGAGTTGAAGGCAACAGCAAGATTTTCTTCCAATTAATAAGTTTTTGAATAAAATCTGCTTTGTACGAATATAAAATCTGGTCGGCTAATAATAGAGCACAATTAATGACCATCGTGATTCCAGCAGATTGTTGGAAACATGGTCTCCAAAACACTATATAAGATATTGTCAATGAGGAACTCCAGAATCTTTTTACTATCAACTTCAGAGTACTAGTGTGTAGAATAAGGAGGACTTTTAACAGTCATTTTGTGGATGACCAATCAGAAGATATGAAAAATTAACGAGTTCCATTTTTATTGAGGAAACACTTGTCTATGATGTCAAAAACCTGTTCTTTCACAAGAGGTTTTAAATTTTCAAAAAAAAAAGTTTTTTGGATTTTTTGTAAGAATCCACATTTGATTTACACCACTTTTTGAAGAAGTAGCAAATACATCTGAAGTTTCTCCTTCAGTTAATAAATTCGGTGAAGAGTAATGATAGGGGCTTGGATGAACATTCACTGGACCCAACAATTTATCTCTGTAAGGATTTTATTAAGATTTAGAATCCAGTTTAGGTACGGCAAATCAAACTTATTTCCATTGATTGGAATGTTGTGTATTTAAAACTGAAAGATGGTATTGAAGAATGTCATCCTTTAAAAGGGAATTTGAGTACAAATTGGGTTACTGGATGTAGAACTAAAGCATAGTTCTAAAATGCAGCTGTTATAATGAGTATTACAAACAAAGCCTATATTGTCACAAGCTTTGTCAGCTGGAACCAAAACATAATATTTATAAAGTCTTTTTAATTCTTCTATCACTTCTGGTCTTCTAAAAACGGAAGGGTAGATTTTGTACTTTTACTATCTAATGCGATTTTTAAAACTATTATTTTTTCAAACATTTGATCTATTCTGACAGAGTGTTAAGGTCCTTCCCATTCATATTTAGCCCATTGTTTAGCATATTCCTCAACGGTAAAGAAGTGGAGTTCTGTTCTGAGCGCTTCACTGGATTTAGGAATTTTAAAATGATAGCTTTTATAGTTCGTCATCACCTGAGTATAAAACAACAATCCATAGAGGATCCATGAAATATAAATTGAAAGGTAAAAAAAAAAAGGTTATACAATATAAATAAATTTTTTTATCCAATCAAATGACGTGTTACAACCAAAATTAAATTATATTAAAATGACTTATCATGGTTTTGTTGTTTTTGAGATTTTTAAATGATCTCTCCTATAAATTCCTAACTAAAAACTTTGATCATCTGTTGTGCCCCCTCCCTACCCCAGGGGGTCAAGATATGAACAAATTTGATTTAAAATTATCCAAAGATGCTTGCATATAAATAAGACAAATCATGGATTTGCTATTTTTGAGAAGATTGTTAAAGATTTTTCACATGTATTCATGTGTAAATCTTTGATCATCCATTGTGGCCCCACTCTATCCCCAGAGTCATGATTTGAACAAACTTGAATCTATATACTATCTAAGGATGCTTCCATGTAAATATAACCAATCATGGTTTTGCTGTTTTTGAGAAAAGAATTTCTTCAAGATTTTTCCTACGTATTCCAATGTAAAACTTTCATCGTCCATTGTGGCCCTACCCTACCCCCGGGGATCATGATTTAAAAAAAAAATAACTTGAATCTACACTACCTGAAGATGTTTCCACACAAGTTTCATCTTTCTTGGCCTAGTAGTTCTGGATAAGAAGATTTTTCCAATGTATTTCCATGTAAAATTTTGAACATTCATTGTGGCCCCGTCCTACACCAGGGGGTCATGATTTGAACAAACTTGAATCTACACTACCTGAGGATGTTTGCACACAAGTTTCATCTTTCTTGGCCCAGTGGTTCTGGAGAGGAAGATTTTTAAAGATTTTTACTATGTATTCCTATGGAAAACTTTGATCGTCCATTGTGGCCCCACCCTACCCCCGGAGGTCATGATTTGAAAAAATTAAATCTACACTACCTGAGGATGTTTGCACATAAGTTTCATCTTTCTTGGCCCAGTGGTTCTTGGGAAGAAGATTTTTAAAGATTTTTCCAATGTATTACTATGTAAAACTTAGATCGTCCATTGTGACCCTACCCTACTCCCAGGGGGCCTTGATTTGAACAAATGTGAATCTACACTATCTGAGGATTTTTCCGTATATGTTTCATCTTTCTTGGCCCAGTGGTTCTTGAGAAGAAGACTTTAAAAAGATGCCATTAATTTTTACGAATTCTTAATTATCTCCCCTTGGAAAAAGGCTTGGCCCTTCATTTGAACAAACTTGAATCACCGTTACCCAAGGATACTTTGTGGCAAGTTTGTTGAAATTGGTCCAGTAGTTCTTGAGAAGAAGTCGAAAATGTGAAAAATTTACGCACGGCGCACACCCGCACGACGACGGACGAAAACAGATAGCAATATGTCACCTGAGTGACTCAGGTGACCTAAAAAGAGAAAGATCAAGAACGCTTAAAATGATTTTCTTTTAGATGGTCAATATCTACGCACTGTAAAATTTGTTACTAATTGAAAATTTTAGATGCTCACTCCTCCATAGCACCTGATCCCACCTCTAAATTTTGAGGTCCGTGTTTGCTCTGCTTCAAATTTGTATCGTTTCATTGGACTTTCGAGATTGAATACTGTTCGTTATCTTCATATTTCATGCAATTGTTTGGGAATATAATTGTACAAAACACAAAATGTAGTTTTCAACTTAGAATTTCTCATAAAGTCAAGGAAATTTATTCGGTAAATGTCCATACACTAAAAAATCAAGGTGTTGTAAATTTTAGTTACCTGCAATAATGTCGCTTACACCCGTCGCAATCATTGCTTTATACAGAGTAGATAGAGAACTAGTATTGTGAACCGTCTCTACAATATTCTCCTTCAAAGGAAAAGGGTACATAACTCTGGAAATGACTTGAATGACCCCGTTTGTTGCCTTCTGATCAACCAGAGTGACTTGGCAGCCGTTTGCAGTGACCGTTGGCGGAGGTATTGGCTGGATACAAAATATGTCTTTTATTGCAGTAAACATTAGAAAGTATTGCAGTAGAATAAAAAGTGGAAACGACGCTTATTTTTTTAAAAGTGGAAACAACGCTTATTTTCATAAAAAGTGGTAACAGCCTTACCTTCTTAGAATGTGGTAACAACGCTTACTTGTCTTAAATTTCTCAAAAAATATTTTAGGGATGTCATAATATATATTTCCCTTAGTCGATTATTCGATTGCATTATTCGAACGATAGTCGAATATTCGGAACATTTTCTGAAAATAAAATTTTTATTTCAAACTTCACTGGTACATGACGTATTTATAACTCAAAAACCTTTTTACTTAAATCTATTTAAAAAGTAACATCAAAATTAATGCAACGTAACGCATGATTATATGAAATAAATTAAGAAACCTAATTCTCCAAAATTTATGATTTCCCAGTCAATCGAATTCATAGTACGGTCTGTACATACAGTCAGTTTTTATTTTAGTGAGTATTAAAAAATACCAGTCGAATAGTCGACTATTCGTTGACATCCCTAAAAATTTTGTAATTAACAAATGACTCAAAGTCCTTGATTTCTATGACAACTTCAGTTTTACTTTAACTCTGATTCTCTCGTCCATCGATTTCTTAGAGTTACTACTGTGGACCCATCTCTACATCAGGAAACAAGATTTTTAAAAATCTATTTCTAAGTAAAAGTTTGACCCTTCACTGTTGCCCAACCTAAGTCTCAGGAGCCAAGTTTTTGTCAACCTTTACATTATTAAAGAACTAAAATACTATGGCATGTCAAACGTTGCAATATTCGATCTTTTCCATTTGCATTGTAATATTTTTATTTGTATTCTTTAATTTTCCATTTGTACTGTATAATTTTCCATTTGCATTCTATAATTTTCCATTTGTTTTCTATAAATTTCCATTTGTATTGTATAATTTTACAATACAAATGGAAAAGTATACAATACAAATGAGAAATTATACAATACGAATGGAAAATTATAAAACACAAATTGAAAAATTATAGAACACAAATGAAAAATTATAGAATACAAATGGAAAGATATACAATACATATGGAAAATTATTGAATGCAAATAAAAAATTATAGAATACAAATGGAAGATTATAGAATACAAATAAAAATTCTAAAATACAAATAAAATTTTACAATACAAATGAAAAATTATACAATACAAATGGAAAATTATAGAATAGAAATAAAAATTATATAATACAAATAAAATTATACAATACAAATGAAAAATTATACAATACAAATGGAAAATTATACAATACAAATGAAAATTATACAATACAAATAAAAATTAGGGATGGCAGTTTGTAATCGGTTAACCATATTCGGTCGGAACGGTGGTAATCGGTTAGAAAATCTGTAATCGATTAGTCGGTAAAAATTCAATTATGTGTAAATTTGAACTCAATTTCCTGGAAATTCAGATAAGAATATCTGAAATTTCAACATTTTTACCTATCTATTTAAGTTGATCTGGAGATAATTTTAATCAAAAGGCTCTCTGGATTGACATCGTTAGGGTAATTGGTCAGTTTTCGATATGTTTTACTTAATTGCCATTTCAACACATGTCTTTACCCAGACTGCCCTGTGTTTCTTTAATGATTTTAATTAAATGATCGTTCAGTACTGCGAACTGATTAAAATGTGTACCATACCTCAATTGAATTAAACAAACATTGTAAATTAAGCGATAGTTAAGACAGTTTTGATTATGGTGACAATGCAGAATGAACTTGTCATTTCTTTTAATTTTTTTATGTATCTGATACTTCAAGTATTTTTCATGGGTTTCTTTTATTTTTTATTTATGTATATTTTTTTTTTTTGGCCTATTAAAATTGAAATTAAATATATATATAGTGTTAAACATGATATAACTAGATGTAACCTTAATCCTTATAGTCTTGTTTATATGAGTGGAGCTTACAATGATGAAATACGTAAAGAATTTTTGATACGATTAACCGAGTAACCGGTCGGAACGTCTTGCGATTAACCGATTGGTAATTCTGTATTCGATTGCCATCCCTAATAAAAAATTTTACAATACAAATGAAAAATTATACAATACGAATGGAAAATTATAGAATACAAATAAAGATTTTAAAATACAAATGGAAAATTATTGAATACAAATAAAAAAAAATTACTACACAAATGAAAAAATATAGAATACAAATAAAATTTTTACAATGCAAATGAAAAATTATAGAATACAAATGGAAAATTTTACAATACAAATGGAAAATTATACAATACTAATGGAAATTTATACAATACAAATGGAAAAGATAGAATATTGCAACGCTTGACATCCCATAAAATACATTAACTGTAGCCATACTGTTTCTTATTTATTTATTTGGTTTTCCTTTTAATTACTTATTAAAATTTTAGCTCTCTCCGTATGCTATATTCCCCCAAAAAGTTTGTCTATTATATGAGAAGCCTTACCTTAAATATGACTTACTGTGGTCCTGTTGCCATCCCCCTTCCAAAAAATCTTTATATTCTATTACAATATTATGATTATTAAAAGTCCTATTATTATGCTTTATAGCTAACCTTAATCGGAGGTCATGATTTGAACAAACTTGAATCTTCTCTTATCAGAAGGACTTTTATCAAGCATTCATATTTTAAATTGTATGAGTTTGAACGAATTATCCAAGGATGTTTTGTGCCGCGATCAGAATTTTCTATAAAGTTAAAAATGTGACGAAATTAATGTATGAGACTAACGGACAATGGATAGTTTTCAATCATCAAAGACCAGGATCCTTGGCTAGGGTGAGCTAAAAGAGAAGGAAAAGTCTGTTCATCAATTAATTCTAATAGCAAGATAAACCTTACCCTGACAAATCTTGGTAGATATTTGTTTATCCTTATACCGACGTCCTTGTTCATGGATGGTACAAGTTCATCATCTTTCAGAGATTTTGATAACATGGTCTTGTTGACAATGTGTGCAAATAAAACGCTGGTCAGTAACTGCTTGTCAGATTTAAGTTTCTGAATGACGTCTGGTGAGAGTGAAGAGAAAGCTGCATCACTCGGGGCAAACAGAGTGAACGGACCTGTGTTTTTTTTTACAAATGCATTAACGTATGAACAGGTATACTCAAAGTAAATGCATGAATTTTACACCACTAATTTCAGAAAAAAATATTAAGGTTATACAGCTGTTATACACTTTATTTTAAGGAATATTTTCATTCCTATGTATGAATGGTTCAGAGTTACCTTTTGAAGACAACACATCCGTCAATCCAGCATCTTGTACAAACTGGAGAAGAGTTGAGGCACCAAGCTTCTTAGCTAAATCAATGATGTTTTCTTCTTGTGAAAAGGCTTGGGATAGAAGGAATGCACAAACCACACACACCCACTTCATCTTCATCGAACAAGCAGGTTATCATAAGACTACAACTGTTTACAATATCATAACTTTATCATAAGACTCAGATTATTTATCTCCTCATGGGCAAAAAAAGATGGGCATGTTATCTGCAGGAATCATGTGTACGAAATATTCACAGTTTAAATGTCCAAGATTTGGTTGGCTGACCACAGCTGGACAGACCTTATCAAGTTAAACACTTGGGGAAATAATATATTTACATTAAAATACCCTGTCAATTAGTAATATCTTGGTCCGCTTATCTTTATAGTTACAATAACAACAATTTACATAAATAGTAGACACCTATAAGATAATAAGGTATGCTGAGTAGTTAAATGCAATTACTATAGTACATTGCAGTTTCAGTAGGTAGGAAGCATTGCCTTTGCAACTGAACCATTTTTTTTTTAATTTTAAAATGTTATCAGTCAACAAAAATAAATCAGTCAAGAAAAATCAAACTGACAAAAAATATGATTTTAAAAGAAATCATGAGGCCATGGGCCACATTGCTCACGTGAGCACTTTGGCTAGAGAAAAGCAGATATCAGTTTGTTATTGAAAAGTTTCAATAGTGGTCATATCCCCCCCCCCCCACACACACACACACGAAGGTCATATTTGGAGAACTTTGAATCTACTCTACTCTTACTGGCGATCCCTCAATAATTTTTGATTACTCATAGCTTTAAATATTTTCCCTTTATATTTCTATGTAAATTTTTTTTTCTTGTGGCCCAACCTACCCGCGGGTGTCATGTTTTGAAAAAAAAAACTTGAATCTACACAACCTGATTTTCAAAGATAAATTATATATATTTCTATGTATAACTTTGCTACGGTCCGACCCTACCCCCGGGGCCATAACTTGAAGTTACTTGAATCTAAATGGCATTTTTTGTTTAAAAATGGGGGGGGGGAGGGTAGGCTTAACGTCTTCTCGAAAATTTTCACTCATGTTGAGACGTCACCATTTGCCGACGGAGGGCCGCAAATTTAGACCTTTACTCGGCACATAGGATCTTTGAGCAGAGAGGAATCTTTTTCGTGCAAGCAACTACTGCGACAAGGGACCTCGGTTTATGTGGTTTCGTCCGAAGGACCAGTCTCCACGACCCACAGTGGGATTCGAACACGTGATGTAAGGATCAACTCCTTAATCCGCAACTCTAGAGCGAACGCCCTACCACTCCCCTTGAAAAACGACGTGGCCATTCATTTGAACAAACTTGAATACCCTTTCTTTCATTCATTTTTATGCCCCCGTAAACAAAGATTCGGGGGGTATATAGTTTTTTTGTCCTGTCCGTACGTCTGTCCGTCCGTCTATCTGTCTGTTTGTCCGCAAAAACTTCAACATTGCCAATAACTTTTGATTAATTGGAGCTATGGCTTTCATATTTCACATGTGTATTTCTTGTGACAAGACCTTCCTTTGGGAACCAACATATTTGTCCTCATGACCTTTGAATTTGACCCACTTTTACAAAATTTTATCCAACTTTAACCTTGTCCATAACTTTTGAGTTGTTGCTAGGGCTTTCATATTTCACACGTTTATTCATCGGGACAAGAACAACATATTTGACCCATTTTTGCAAAAATTGACCCAACCTTATCTTTGGCCATAACTTATAAAAAGCTGGTGCTAGGGCTTTCATATTTCACAAGTGTATTCATCGTGACAAGACCTTTCCATGGATATTATAATTTTGACCTTGACCTTAGAGTTTGACCCACTTTTAAAAAAATTTAACCTTGCCCATAACTTTTGAAAAATTAATACTGGGGCTTTTAAATTTCACAGGTATATTTCTTGTGACAAGACCTTTCTTTGGATACCAACAATTTTGACCTCTTGACCTTCACCTTGGAGTTTGACCTACTTTTGAAAAACTTCAACCTTTGCCATAACTTTTTTTATATATGGTGCTAGGACTTTTATATTTTGCATGTGTATTTCTTATGACAAGTCCTTCCTCTGTTAATTTTAACCCTTTGACCTTGACCTTTAATTTTGACCCACTTTTAGAAAACATTAACCTTGACCATAACTTTTGAATGGTTGGTGCTTGGGCTTTCATATTTACCAGGTATATCCACTGACACAAGTCCTTTCTTTGGGTAAAAACATTTTTGCTCTCTTGACCTCCCGGGAATTGAACTTTTCAAGCGTTTAAAGAAGGAGAAAAGACAATTACCGGTATCATTTAAAGTTATTATGCTAGGTTTTGTTGCGATTTTATGTGAAGGGGTTTTAAGCGAAGTAAGTATACCCTTTCCCATTGGAGAAGGTCAGCTATACAGTATTAACCTTCTGACTTTACCAAAATCTTTTAATATTCTTTGGAACATACAAATACTGCTTTTTTCAGTCAATACAACTTACTGACTGAACTCCCAAGCAATTATTGTTTACTATGCGATTTATTAAGTATATGTTTGTGTGAAACCCTGATGCCCTCCATATAACAGTTCATGACAGAAGTAAAAGTTTTTATAATGCAAGTCTATCTCCATGAACAAAGGTCAATTTAGATCAAGAGATAAAAAGTGTTGACATCCAAGGAAATGTCTTGTCACAAGGAGGATCTATATCTGTGAAATATGAAAGTCCTAACACAAATTCTTCAAAAGTTATCGCCAAGGTTTAAGTTTTCCAAAGAAGGTCAAATGCCTACAGATCAAGGTCAAAGGGTCAAACCTGTTGCTACCCAACGGAAGGTCTTGTCACAAGAAGACACAAGTGAAATATAAAAGCCCTAGCATCCATCGATTAAAAGTTATGGCCAAGGTCTTGTCATAAGGAACACAACCGTGAAATATGTTAATAATGTGAAGAAAAACTGATTTCACCTTTCCATGAAACTGAGGCTTTAATTTCGTGTTAATCTGGGACTTTGCCAACCCCAAGCAGATTTAGATGGGGGTCGAGATTTGCAAACTAATTAAATGTTTATAACAAAGTAATAAAATGACTTTGGACCCCGCTTAAGAAAACATGAACCATGAACCTTCTGTTAATTGGTAGGAGGAAGAGTCATAAAAGTGAAAGAAAGGTGCTCACTCCCCCCCCCCCCCTTCCCTCTCCAGAACGAAATAGGTTTTTAAAGGCTTTTAACATTTACGAAAGGTATTTACTTTTCTGGCAGGTAAGAGGGGGGGGGGAGGGGGGTTGTCAATTAAGATTAAATCCACACTCCCTGAGGATGCTTCCATATAAATATGACTATTCAAGGCTCTGTTTTTCTTGAGTAGATTTTAAGTTTTTCCTATACAGTATATATTGAATACCCATGAAAAACATTGTTTGCCTAAAGTAGCCCCACCATACCCAAGGGGGTCAAGGTTTGAATAAATTTTAATCTACACTACTTGAAGATGCTTACATATAAAGATGACAAATTGAGACTTTGCTGTCTTTCAAAAGATATTTCTTCTATGTAAAACTTTGATCACTCATTGTAGCCCCACCCCTTAGTGTCATGATTTGAACAAACTTGAATCTACAGTACTATCAGAGGATGATTTCATATAATTAAGTCTTTATTGTTCTAACAAAAATTAAAATCTTTTGTATGTACATGTATACCTATTGCCAATTTGGCACCACTGTACACCTGGGGTCAAAATTTGAATAAACTTGATTCTACACTACCTGAGGATGTTTCTTCATGTATTTAGATATGACTGATCAAGGATTTACTGTTTCTGAGATGAAGATTTTTAAGGATTTTTCCTATAAAAAAGTATACCAAAGTAAAACCACCCATAGTGGCCCAACCCTTAAATTTCCCACTGGAATCATGATTAGAACAAACTTGAATCTACACTGTCCGAGAAGGCTTCCATATAAATAAAAGAGGCCCAAGGGCCTTAAAGGTCACATGAGTACAACTATTTAGAGGATCCATAAACTGATAAATGAAGCTTTGTTGCCTAAAAGCGCGAAAAATAATATGATAAGGATCAACAAAATAATTGGTCTAGTATCTACATGTAACTGTCCCCCATTTATCACTGCTGGAATTTTGCGAGAAGCGCTGACTTTTACAGTCGAAGGCTTTCTTTGACATTTAAACCTGTCTTATGTACGGAGGAGCGAAATTGATAAAAGATAACAAAACATTAATAGGGGTTATAGATATGGTTTTAGGAGGCGCTAACATGATTACCCGGTATACAAATAATACAAGAGATGATGAGAAGTAGAATAACAATATTTAAGAAACGTTTTTTGTGAGGAGTAGTATCTCCTTTTAATCTTATATGCTGAACGAACAAAACGTTCCGGAAGGAAATCTTGGCAAGAGTTGGTAAGGGTGGAAAGGGTATGGGTTGAGAATAGGGTGGTTGCAGTTCCCTTCCTAGACAACGTAATATATGCTTTGAAATGGCCCATTTTTACCTTGTAAGTAATTGTTCATCTAAATATTTATATCGCAAAAGAGCCTCCGTACATTATCTTAACGTAAAAGTAAGCCGTCAATTGTAAAAGTCAGCGCTTCTCGCAAAAGTCCATTACAATGCAGACTATTAACAAAATATATCTATTTTTTAACCTCATATTATTACCTCTCACATTGGCTTCTCTTGACCTTTGAAGAACATTTAAAAAGATAAGTTATTTTTGTATCATTTTTATTCGTCTATTATTTCCAAGTTTACCCGATCATTAAAACTATGAAAGTACTTTTTGTATTATACAATAAATGTTCTTGCATAATTCTTGTATTCTATTAACCTTTCAAATACATTATTTACAGTGATTAATTATCAAAGGTGAATGGCAAAGGGGAATAACTTTGCTCAGTAGAATACAAATCAATAGAGCCTGGCCAGGACCAGAACACTTGACTAAATGGTCCAAATGTTCAACATTCTGGTAAAAATACCCTTGCTTATTAAAACTTTTACTCTGTTTGCTTCCAATATGACCAAAAGCAGAGGTTTTCAAAGAAATAATGCATTTTCACTACAGATTTAACAAAGCCCTACCCTAACACCAGAACACATGACCCAGGGACATGAAATTTACCAATTTGGAACAGGTACCATCATCATCATAACAACTATGCAATTAGTTGAGGATTTTCAAAGAATTCACCATATTATCACTATATATTTTCACTATATTATCAATAGACCCTCCCTCCCCCCCTCGGAGAAACACCAGAACCCCTGGGAACACAAGTTTTAAAATTCAGTAAAAGCACCCTTGCTCATCATAACTATACACTTGTTTCTCTGCTTTATAACCAGGAGTAGAAAAAATATTTTGAAAGTAATTATGCATTTTCATAATATAATCAAAAGAGCCCCCCTCTCCCTTCACCAGAACCACTGACCCTGGGGCCATGCAATTCAAACTTTTGAAAGAGGCATTCTTGCTTATCATAATCATGCACTTCCTTTGATTAAATAATACCCAGAAGCAGAGAAGGAGATTTCCAAAGAATTAATGCATTTTTGCTATATATCAATACAGTCCGTCCTAACACCAAAACCCCGATCCAGGGGCCATGAAATTCACAATTTCTGAAGAGGCACTGTTGCTTATCATAACTATGTACTAAGTTAATTTAATATCCATGAGCAGAGAAGATTCTCAAAGAAATAATGCATTTTCTAATAATCTAGTAGTGTACATCCCAACATGCAATTTTGATCTGATAGGGCTTGCAGTTACTTAAAAAAGGCTTATCCAAATACTTCAATCTAGTCATTCATCCAGAAAATGCAATTTAAATCCAGCATCTGAAGCAAGTCTGAGAGTGTACATCCTTTGATGCATCATCCATGCAAATTTGGTTTAGATAGGCCTTATAGTTTCTTGGTAATAGACCTGCACCCAAAACTTTAACCTGGTCCATTATCTGGAAAATGTATGTCAGAACCAGCGTCCGAAGCAAGTCCATTTCTGTGCCTCCTTAGATGTATCATGCATGTAAGTTTGGTTAACATAGGACTTACAGTTATTTTACTTGGAAATGAGACCTGTACCAAAAACTTTGACCTGTTCACTCATCCGGAAAATGAAGGTCAGATCCAGCAAAGCAAGACTAGTAGTGTGCATCCTTAGATGTATCATCCATGCAAGTTTGGTCAACATAGGGCTTACAGTTACTTGGAAATGACACTTGCACCAAAAACTTTGACCTGTTCACTCATCCGTAATATGTAGGTCAGATCGAGCATCCAGTCTGGTAGTGTGCGTCCTTAGATGTATCATCCATGCAAGCTTGGTCAACATAGGGCTTACTATGTTACATGTAATTATCGAAGATTCAGGGCATATAGTTTTTACTCTGACCATCCATCTGTTTGTGTGCAAAAACTTTCCCAGAGGAGATTTAAACAATTTAAAATCTACATATGTCCGGAAGATTTTATTAGTTTCATTTTTTCATGTCAAGTGGTTCAAAAGAAAAAAAGATTTTAAAAAGATTTTTCCCTGTATATTTTAATGTTATATTTTGATCCATAGTGTGCCCCCATCCAACAACTGTGGTTAAGATATGAATACCTGTTATTAGAATCTACACTACCTCATGATGTGTTCATGTAAGTTTTATTATTTTGATCCGCTATTGCAGCCCGTCCTACCACCAGGGGATATCAATGATTTGAATATTTTAGAATCTAACTTCCCAAAAAAGCTTTCACATATGTTTTTTCTTTTCTGGCACAGTGGTTTGGAAAGAATTTAATGACCAACCCATTTTCGCCTTGACTATCCTTGACTATCTTCGGGAGGGGGTGGGGGGGGGGGGGGGAGGTTGAACTTCAATTGAACAATTATATAGAATTTTCTTTACCCATGGGTGCTTTGTGCAAAATTCAGTTTAAATTGGCACCATGATTATTTTAAAAGAAGTTTTAAAAACTGAAAACTTCACTGATGGATGGGCAGTTAGACAATTGAGAAGATGGATGCCTGACTGTAGGTGATCAGAATAGCTCATTTTAGCTTTCAGCCCGGGTGAGCATAAAAGATGGTACATTGAGGTTAGGGATGATGAACTAGGATCCATCTTTATAGGTATCAGAAAGGCAGAGAGTACTGTACATATTCTGGAGTCAGACAGACACAAAAAGCATCTGAAACACAACATTTCATCATATTAAATAATGAGGGCCCCACTCTTAGGATGCCTAAAAGTGATTAGTCTGTCTGCCTGTCTGTTCAAGATCACTTGTCTGGAGTGTATGTCCTCTTGATCATTATTACTTTTTTCTTTACAAAATAGTAAAACAAATATTTACACAAATCAATAATAAAAACATGTATATTTATAGATTAAATCAGACTTTTTAAATTTCTTTTATGGTTTTGAATTTCATTTTTCATCAGACCAAAGAAATTTTTTTGATTTCAGTAACTGTGATAGTTTCACATTGAATGGCTTATAGAATTCCTGAAGCATTTTCTTTGTCACTGGTAACATGTCTCCAAGAGCCTTAGTCTGGTTGGACCGTTGATTTTCTTTTTCATGGTCTTCAAGAAATATATCTGATTCTGCTTCAGTTAATTTACCTGCAAAATAATTCAACAACCAGTAGAAAGTTAGAAGAAAGTCAGAGTTTAACTTACATACACTTTTACCAGGGTGTGTTCAGCATTGCAAGTTGCTTCTAACAGTAATTAGAGCATTTACTCTAAAGTCACAGAGTATGGAATTGATCCTTTAACAGCAGGTTCGAATCCCACTGCAGGATGTGGAGGCAGGCCTGAAGACCGTAAACTGAGAAAAGACTTCATTCAAAAATTTGATTTTGAATACCTTCTATTTAAAATATGAGCGTAAAAAATTTGCAGGTTTGTATAATACACAAATTCATAAACATGTTGAAAATTTTGTTTCATGATTACCAAAATAATTTAATTAGAAATATGTCCATAGGACATGAATGCCTACCCAGGGTTCATTAGTAATGCAACACTAAAATTTGCATTAGTGTTGGCATCTTCACAATGTCAAGGCTTTGTGATATTGTTTCTCTACACAAACCCTTGACTTAAGTTGCTATTTAAAAGTTGGGCTAAAAAGCTACTATTTCATTTGTTCCCAGTCTAGGACTCGAACCAATCAGAAAACAGCTTTTATTTTAAAATTTTAAACAAATAAGACTTGTCTTTAAAATGAAAAGTGTAAATATTGTAGGATTTGTGACTACGGTAGTTACCTTAAAGAAAACATTGGATATTAATTTTTGGAAGATCCTCCTCCTTACAATCACAAAAGATATGCTCTGGCTTTGGGTCATTTGAAAATGACAGATTTGATACAATATATCCTCACTGGTTGGTTTATAATTAAACATTACATCATGTTTAACTACAAGCCCAACTTCTAAATAGTGACTTTTGTGTCTTTTTTTATGTAGAGGACCAATATCACAAAACCCCAACCTCTAAATAGTGACTTTTGTGTCTTTTTTTATGTAGAGGACCAATATTACAAAACACCAACCTCTAAATAGTGACTTTTGTGTCTTTTTTTTATGTAGAGGAACGATATCACAATTTAAAACCTTGATATTGTGAAGATTTAGTGTAGGAAGTTTGATGAAAATACCTGGAATAGTTTCTTTAAAACTTAAATTAATACACAATAAATAGTTAAGTCAAAGGTCACTGAGAAGTTCAAGGTAAACAAGAGGCCCATGGGCCACACTGCTCACCCGAGTAACTTTGACCATGCTGTTCACCAGGCATTCCCCCTTGTAACATTCAATGTGACCCCCACCTACCGATGGCAGTGATTTAAACAAATTAGAATCTACACAACCTCAGGAATCTTCCTCATAACTTCCAGCTTTTCTGGCCCAGTGGTTCTTGAGAAGACTTTCAAAGATTTTTCCTATATATTTCAAAGTAACATTTTTACTTCACACTATCCCCAGGAATCATGATTTGAACAATTTAGAATCTGTGCTACCTGAGGAAGCTACCATTTAAGTCTCAGCTTTTCTGGCTCAGTGGTTTTTCACTAAAGTTTTTACCATTATATTTCAATGCAAAACTTTGATTCCCTATTGGGACCCCACCCTACCCAGGTGGGCCATGATTTGAACAATTCAGAATCTAAGATACCTAAAGTAGCTTCCACGTAAGTTTCAGTTTTTCTGGCCCAGTGGTTCTTGAGAAGGTTTTAAAAGTTTTTCCCTACATTTCAATGTAAAACTTTGATTCCCTATTGTGGCCCTAACCCTAGGGGTCATGTTTAAAAAATTTAAAATCAACATTACCTCAGGAAGCTTCCACATAACTTTCAGCTTTTCTGGCCCAGTGGTTCTTGAGAAGATGTTCAAAGATTTTTCCATTATATTTCAATGTAAAACTTTGATTCCCTATTTTGGTCCCAAGGGGGTCATGATTTGAACAATTACCACAAGAAGCTTCCATATAAGTTTCAGCTTTTCTGGCCCAGTTGTTCTTAAGAAGAAGTTTTTTTCCTTTATATGTCAATGTTAAACTTTGATTCCCTATTTTGGCCCCACACTACCCCCAGGTCATGATTTGAACAATTTAAAATCTACTCTACCCTAGGATGCTTCAACATAAGTTTCAGCTTTCCTGGTCCAGTGGTTCTTGAGAAAAAGATTTTTTTAATGACACAATCCTATTTCTGTCTTTTCTTGATTATCTCCTTTTATTTTAAGAATTTAAACTCCCTTCACCAAAAGGATGCTTTGCACCAAAATTGGTTAATATTGGCCATGTGGTCCTTGAGAAGAAGTATACATGCGCAATCAAAACTTCGAGAGATAGAGAGTAAAAAACAATTAAATATGTGTAACGGGACCCGGGTCTTGGTTCGAGAGATAGAGAACTTTGAGGGATCGGGAGTTCGAGAGATCAGGAGTAAATTTGCTTAGTTATATAGAGGAAAAAAATGGGACTGGAGGCTCACTTTGAGAAATCAAGAACTTTGAGAGATCGAAGTTCGAGCCATCGAGAGTTACCTGTATTATAATATTGTCCGATTGGACAAGTGATTTTTCTGTGAAGATTTTTTTTAAAGTTGAAAATGAATAAAAAATAAACCCTGTTGTCAATGTTTATTGGAGTTCAAAATTGATATGTAGTGTGTAAATGATTAACTTTGATCCTGATCATAATTATGATGATCCTGGTTGTCAAACTTGATCGAGATCAAGGTTCACTATGGACAAAATACTTTCGATTTTGCATTTCAATTAGAAATTTAGATATGTAATAGCTAAATTTGGGTTTTACAGTATCAGGTCGGAAACCTGTAACGAAAGAGAAAGAAAGTAAATGAATGTTTTATGTATTTCTTTTTGTAGCTATTTGTTCTTTTGTATTTAAAGCTGAACACAATTTGTAAAAGGCAGAGATCTATGCTTGTCAGCCATATTACTCTCCATTTTTCGTTAGCTGTACGGCCCCTACATAAGCCTTCACCTGGACTCGAGTCAATGTAATCAGTTTTCAATGGTGTGGACAAACGTATTCTACATAGCTATTGTAATACATTTGGTAGCGACGAGAGTAACTGTCCACAACAGAGGAAAAAGTTACCAAAGAAACTTACATCAGTTGCACAAGTCTGTGCAGTACAAACAAACACAAATACACGTAAACTGCAATAAAATGTAAACAAAGGTAATGTAAGATAACCAGCACCAACAAGTTGCCCACTCCATACAGGTACCCCAGTGCTGATATTGGAGACAGCAAAACTAAAATGACATAATCGCCTATTTATGAGTCCTGTTTATGAGTCCTGTTCAGCTCTAGTATCGCATTTACTACTACTTCGTCCTGGGACAGAATCATGATACAATATAGTGTCTTAATTTGCAATATGTGTCAGAAACTCATGAAACAGTGAATATTTTATAATTTAAATTTTATACAATATTTTTCAAGTTGTAAAATTGTTCTTTATTGAAATATTTTCAGAATGTAAAAGTTATGTTCGGACAAGTAAATTTCAAGGTCGCTTATCCGAGTGGACAAGTAAGAAAAAAACGTTAATGTGGAGCCCTGGTTTGGATCGAGGGTCGACAAAATACATTTTGCCAGAGAACACAGTCAATAAATTTTTGTTATACCTTTTATTTTACATGCATGTACAGGGTTCTCCATCATTTCAAATTTAACTGTGGCACAAGACTTATGCGAAGTGCTAATATTTGCGTTCTTTTCGCAACCGATTTCGCGAAGGAACCACGAAATAAACTGAAAAACACACAACCCCAATGAATAAATAGTTTAATATTCAAATGATATTAATTATACGGTAAATTAATTATTAAATTTTAACGACATCAATTAAACATAGTGTAAAACAAAAATTAGGATGTTCCCAAAATATATGCATATACTGTGAAAAAGACTCCCCCCCTCCCTTTCTCAAACACATACGTACTTATAAATAAACAACTATGAGCTTATAAAATCTGAAAATAAAAGTACCAGTAACAAAAAGGTTTAAGCATTAAACCCTCTTTTAAAACAAATTACAAAAGGTAAATTATATAGTGTTCATTAGAGGGCGGAGGAAATTCTGGTAAGTCACACAATCACGCTAACATCTATATAAATTTGCAATTTTCGGTCTGAGGGCTGAAAAATCATAAAATTTGTGAATTAAAAAAACACTTAAGCAGTTTAGAGTCATAAAATAATACTTTGGTGGATATATCGTTATTTTTCAACATTGCAAAAATACATGATTACGATATACGTGTGATGTTTGACACTCAGTGCCAATGCAATTTTTGAGACGTGGTTATCTGTAGGACTATTAAACCATGAATTAATTAATATTAAAAATTTCATTTGCAATTAACGTGAAATGTGTGGAAAAAATGGCTTGTCTCTTTTCATTCAAGTGTCCAGCGAGGTCTAGAAGATAATTGCTTGTGCATTAGCCAAACAATGGGCCTAAATTAACGGTTTAGCATTAGAAACTGACAAACGGTACCTAATTAATATATTTATCTTACTGACGATGGCGGTCTTACTGTGGCGCTAATATTTTAACTGTGGCGGAACTATGGCGCTGATTTTTTAACTGTGGTGCTAAGGAATTTAACTGGCGGGGCTGCCACATTAAATGGCCCATGGAGAACCTTGATGTATCTTGTGCTTGCTTCCATGATGTAAATTTACTTTACCCACAGTGTGGTTAAACTTGGTCAATTCCATCTTGAACACCAACGAATGCAAATATTTAGCTGATCCCGCCCAGAGTGTGATATAGCAGTCCAATATATCATCGACAGGTCCAATATCTCACTCTGCAGTCAAGCATTGATTTTCAATGGACCGCTAAGTAAAACATTGGAAATGTTAGGCTTTTTTTTAGTATAGATTTATATAGGATACAATTTTTAAAGGTATAACAATATATTTTGTTAATTTAGATTTATTTTATATAAAATAAACAACTGTGTAAATTTCAAGAGATTTTTAATTGACTTTTATGGGGGCAGGGATATACCATTTTTACAATACATTGCTCTTTGTTTCTCTTTTAAATCCGTCATTCTCATGAAAGTTCTCTTTGATCACACAAACAAACAAAACTTCATCAAAATCTACATTTAAGTAAAATAATGCATTGTTTTAAATAGTTAAAAAAAAACAACCCAAAACTAAGGTGATTGTCCATTACATGGTGAATTAATCCTTTATATACATGTACATCTTAATAATGTTTTTTTTTTTTTACTTACTTAATTCCAGAAATTCAGCCACTTTGTTGAGAATTTTTCTTTTGTCTTTTGTGTATTCATCAAAATCAATCACTAAAATTTGATTCTGTGGATATATATTCAACCAGTCCATCAGGAATACATAGTACATGCCTACTCGCAGCCTTGCCTAGAAAACAAATTACAAAGCTCACTTTAATTTAATCTCTTTTGAGTTAATAAATGACATCCTCAATCTAGCTGATTTAAAAATCTACTAAAAGTATGATATATTTTGGTTCAGTCAATTGTGGACAATGGACAATATCAGATCTGGGGAAAAAAATACAAAGGGATAGCAGTTAAAGACTTTATACTATTCTATTTTTCATAAATATAGTACAATTTACCACAATTTAACAAGAGGTCCAAGGGCCTTGAATTGCTCTTCTGATAAACTGTACAACCTATCACTTTTATTTGAAGCTCTAAGTATCCTGTATATTTAGATAAACCCTTGAAATTCCAAAGGTAGGTCATCATAACCTACATTTTAGATGAAACTCTCTAAAACCCAAGATGATTCAGATCCAATTAATACCCGAAAGTTGGTCATGGTGACCTACTTATCACTTGTCATTCTCTGAGGACCCATCAACTAAGTTTGATGTTTCTAAGCCAATTAATACCTAAAATATTTTTTAAAATTATAACCATAAAATTTTATAAGCAGGTCAAAGTGACCTACTTTTCAATTGTTGTACTCCAAGGACCCAAGATGCATCAACTTACAAAGTTTGATGATTCTAAACCAATTAGTACCTAAAATATTTAATTGAAGCCATAAATTTTCAAAAGTAGGTCACGGTGACCTACTTTTCAGTTGTTGTAATCCAAGGATCCAAGTTGCATTAACTTACAAAGTTTGATGATTCTAAGCAAATTAGTACCCGAAATATTTAATTAAAGCCATAAATTTCCAAAAGTAGGTCACGGTGACCTTCTTCTCAGTTGACCTACTCCAAAGACCCAAGATTCATCAACTGACAAAGTTTGATGATTCTAAGCCAAATAGTACCCGAAATATTTAATTAAAGCTATAAATTTTCAAAAGTAGGCCACAGTGACCTACTTGTCAGTCAACCTACTCCGAGGACCCAAGATGCATCAACTGACAAATTTTAATGATTCTAAGCCAGATAGTACCCGAAAATATTAAATACAGCCATAAAATTTCAAAAGTAGGTCACCGTGACCTACTTTTCTGTTGTCGTACTCCAAAGACCCAAGAAGCATCAACTGACAAAGTTTGAAGATTCTAGGCCAATAAGTACCTGAAATATTTAATTAAAGCCATAAATTTTCAAAAGTAGGTCACGGTGACCTACTTTTCAGTCGACCTACTCCGTAGACCCAAGATGCATCAACTGACAAAGTTTGATGATTCAAAGCCAATTAGTACCTGAAATATTTAATTATAGTCATATAAATTGAAAAGTAGGTCACGGTGACCTACTTTTCAGTTGACTTTTTTGAGGACCCAAGATGCATCAACTTACAAAGTTTTAAGATCATGTGCCTTAAATTGTCCAAATTATGCCTCTAAAACGCTTTGAAATCGAATGCCTGCAAAGTTCAAAAAGTAGGTCACTGTGACCTACTTTTTAATAAATATGTTTTAGTTGCCCTTGTGGCGCAGTGGTTAGAGCGTCTGCTCTAGAGTCGCAGCGTAAGGAGTTGATCCTTACATTGCGGGTTCGAATCCCACTGTGGGAGGTGGAGACCGGTACTTCGGATGAGACCGTGTAAACCGAGGTCCTGTGTCGCAGTAGGTACTGGCACGAAAAAAATCCCTCACTGCTCAAAGTCGTAAGTGCCGAGTATAAGACAAAATTTGCAGCTCTCCACCGGCAAGTGGTGGCATCTCCATATGAGTGAAAAATTCTCAAGAGGGACATTAAACAACATACAAACAAACAAAATAAATATGTTTTATGGCCCCAAGATGCATCATCTTACAAGATTTAATGATTGTAAACTTCTCAGTATTCAAATTAATGACCTTAATTGTTTTGAAAAACATTAGCCATAAAATTCAAAAAGTAGGTCAAGGTGACCTACTTTTTAGTCGACGTACTCCGCAGACCCAAGATGCATCAACTGACAAAGTTTGATGATCATAGGCCTTAAACTGTTCAAAATATGCCTCTCAATCATTTTGAAAAAAAATGGCCGCAAAATCTAAAAAGTAGGTCACCATGACCTACTTTTGAGTCTACATAATATGAGGTCCTTAGATGCATCAACTGACAAGATTTGATGATCCTAGTCCTTATAGTAAGCAAAATATCAACATTTTAATAAAATGTCATTTTTGGTCAACTTTGAAGTGACCTTGATACCACGCTCTTTGCCCCAGGGTAAATCCCCATGCAAATTTTAATCTACAACATATCCTCATTCTTTTGTGTAAGTTTGGTGATAATCTGCCCAGTGGTTCTTGAGAAGAAGATTTTTTAGCAACCAGTACTTTTGTTTTATTTTCCTAATTATCTCCCCTTGTTAAGGGTCACAACCCTAGTTTTAGTATAAAAGGGAGCCCTTGGGCCAAGGATACCCTGTGACAAATTTGACAATAATTGGCCAAGGGGTTCTTGAGTTATGGCCCATATTCTAAAAAGTTTATGCACACTGCACAAATGGCCATAGCATTAGCTCTTTGAGCCTTTGGGTCAGAAGAGCTAAGAATGACAATGACTTTGCTATTCATGTCTCACAATAGCATAGTTTATGACACTTCATTACAAAAAGACAGCTACATGTATATAAAAGGCAAAAGGAGCAGAAAGAACAAGAGGCCCATGGGCCACAATACTCACCTGTGTCTGTATGGCCCTGCTGTTTTTTATCAGCAGATTTATTTCCCATATTCTCCTATGTAAAACTTTGATCACACATTGTTTCCCCACCCTGGAGTACTGATTTGAACAAACTTGAATCTACACTAGCTGAAGATGCTTCTATATAAATATCATTTATGACTTATCATGGCTTTGCTGTTCTTGAGGGAAAATTTTTAAATTATAAATTCCATGATTTTATAAATTTCTTCACTGCATGGTGAAGATTTTTTAGGGCTTTGATACCAATTCAAAATTATTAGTATATTTGATATTAACTTGAAATTGAAAAAAGAGGCCCATGGGCCACAACGCTCACCTAAGTAACTTTGACCCTGCTGTTATTCATCTGATTTCCCCCCTTGTTATACCTATTGTGGCCCGCCCTTCCACAAGGGGTCATGATTTGTACAATTTAAAATCTACAATACCACAGAATGCTTCCACGTAAGTTTCAGCTTTTCTGGCCCAGTGGTTCTTGAGAAGATTTTTCCTACATATTTCAATGTAGAACTTAGATTCCTTATTGTGCACCCATCCTACCCCCAGGGGTCATAATTTGAACAATTTAAATCTACACCCCCACAGAATGCTTTCAAGGGGTCATGATTTGTACAATTTAAAATCTACAATACCACAGAATGCTTCCACATAAGTTTCAGCTTTTCTGGCCCAGTGGTTCTTGAGAAGATTTTTCCTACATATTTCAATGTAGAACTTAGATTCCTTATTGTGGCCCAATCCTACCCCCAGGGGTCATAATTTGAACAATTTAAAATCTACACTACCACAGAATGCTTTCACATAAGTTTCAGCTTTTCTGGCTAAGTGGTTATTGAGAAGAAGATTTTTAAAGTAATTTTCTACATATTTCAATGTAAAAATTGGATTCCCTATTGTGTCCCCGCCCTACCCCCGGGGGTCATGATTTGAACAATTTTGAATCTACACTACCCCAGACTGCTTTCACATAAGTTTCAGCTTTTCTGGGTAGGTGGTTCTTGAGAAGAAGATTTTTAAAGTAATTTTCTACATATTTCAATTTAAAAATTGGATTCCCTATTGTGGCCCTGCCCTACCCTGGGAGTCATGATTTGAACAATTTTGAATCTACACTATCTCAGAATGCTTTCACATAAGTTTCAGTTTTTCTGGTTCAGTGGTTCTTGAAAAGAAGATTTTTTAATGACCCCAACCTATTTTTGTATTTTCTTGATTATCTCCCCTCGGAAGGGGGCTTGGCCCAATATAATTTAAACTCCCCTTCACACAAGGATGCTTTGTACCAATTTTGGTTATTGGCCCAGTGGTTCTTGAGAAGTTGAAAATGTGAAAAGTTTACAGACGGACGGATGGACGGTGATCAAAAAAGCTCACTTGAGCTTTCAGCTCAGGTGAGCTAAAAAAACTGAAAAATATATCTTCACCTTTTCATTTACTCTGTAATAGATTTTCAGTTATTACTAGTCAAGAAACTTTTTTGTATTGTCTGAATTTCTCCAAATTAATATGACATTTCTGGAAGTAGAAAATCGATCTAATATTATCTAGCTGAGTAGTCTGTAAACTAATGTGGTTCAATATTATATTTTTCATGGTAAAAATTTTCAAAATGCTTCATTAATTAATTTGAGTAAAAAAAAAATCTTCATACCACTCTCTTTAATTAGTTTGATCCAGCATGTATTATTTTGATTCAAACAATTTCTGCCCTGTTCATTCAGTGTAGATTCATGTGTTCTACACATGGCTTCCGTTTTGAGGCTTTAACGGGCAGAACACAATATACAGGGTCATGTAACACTGTCTAACCAGAGAGAGCTAGGTTCATGTTATGCTTAAAATGGCCCTGTCTATATACCAATTCATTGACTAACAATTAATGTTCCATTTCAAACATCAACATAAAGCAAAGACTTAGTTCTTTCAACACTTTCTATAAAAAAATCTTTCCTCTGGAAATTCAGATATTGAACAAGCTTTGTGAAATTGCAGTGTTTTTGATTTTTTAAGAAAACAAGTAATTTCATTACTTTCAGCAAAGAATCAAAATATGAGCACACCCTTGATCCAAAAAATGAAACATATTTTAAATTATTTTCATAAACAGTTCAATCATTATATAATTGCACATTTGTTGACTTAAAATCAGAGGTTGTGCTCTATACGAAATATTGAAACAGGTCAGGGTACACTACCTTTTATGGAAGGCACTTTTCAACATGTGACGATGTTTTCGTCAAACCCTTTCTCCAATCAACTGAATGAGTCGCAAAGCATGACGGTCTACTACATGTTTATGATTCAATAGCGACATGTGGCTATCGTTGGTTTACTGCTTAATATTTACTTGGTCACCGGAAAAACCGTACAGCTTCTTTTTTACTTTATATTAGGCTGAAATTTAAAGATTATATTCCAAAGACACTGTTCCATGCTCACATTTGATATTTTGAGTTGTTTTAGATCATTAATAGTTGCTTCAAATACCGTACAAACACTTTGACATTTGCGAGTACATAAAAACATTTTCTTGATATTTAGGAGTTAAATAATAATTGCGCACCTTGTACTGCTATCTAAAACTATGTTCATGTATATCACGTGAAAAAACACACTCAATGCTTTCTCGACACAATAGCACCTACGTCTCTTTGAACAATGGTTTACACCAATGTATTACAAGTTGATACTGAGACATTTTTTAAATGTGAGCATAGAAATGAAAGATTTTACATCATTTTCAATATTTCTTTTGTGAATATCAAAAAAGAATTGAAAATGAGTTTCCTAGGAATATTTCAACTTGCCCTTCATTTTCAACACAACTGAGTTTTTACTGATACTTGTAGTAGCCCATAATGCACTGCGACTCATTCAAAAGTAATTTACATGCAAATTTATGCTGACGTCAGAAAATCTAGTGGTCTCAACCTATGAAAAATAGTTAAAAAGTTTGGCTGCATGTTTTTGTTATAACTTTCAGGATTTAGGGAAAATGATGCAATTCATGAGGTCATAATGCACTGACTAGCCAGAAAATTATGTCATTTTTGATAGATAAGCAGTCACCAAGGAGCTAAAAAATACTTAATGCATTGCCAACTTCAACTTAGCAATTTCACTCTTTCAGAAATTCATAGGGCCAAAAAAGCCATGAGTGAACCTTGCCCTTTCATTAACAATATCTGACACTGAGTCTCTTTTCATTACCTTGTAGTTTTCTAATGATGAATTGTATGCACAAGTGCGAACAGAGAATTGGGCTTGACAGAGTTCATGATTCCTGACTGCTCTGTGCACAGCTTGGTGAAAGTCTTCCAGTGACAACAAATAGTTAGCAAGAGGAGCCTCAAACAAATAGTCAGAATACAACCTTTAATAAAGAAAAATACAGATGGATTAACATGCAAAACATGCACAAATCTTGAAATTTTTTTTCAGGGGGATGCACACTGGTTCTAGCAAATATTGACTTGAAAATTTTTTGACAATCAAAACAGAAAATATATAAACAATGCGCAAAACCTTTCATAACAAGTGGCCCTTGGGCCACATTGCTCATCTTAACACCTTGACTAGGCATAAAGCAGAAATCATATGTGTAGTGTATGATTAATTATAGTTTCATTATAATTTATGTTCTAAGAAAGATATCTCTGAATAATTACTAAGTTGATTTATAAATCTCCCTTGTAATTGACAGGAAGTTGATGTAATACAGTCATTCTACGATAAATGGACCAATTCAGAGTAAAAAACATGAAAAAAATAATTGTTTCAAATAGCAAAATGAACATCATAATTCTCTATAAGGACATATCAGTGAACTTGAAAACAAAGAATTGTCTACAAATCTGGTATCGTTAACTTTTTACAACAATTTCAAGATACCATTGATTTTAAGGTAATGTTATGGAAGTTAATGCTTGATCAAGCCTGATTATTTTTTAAATGAAGCTGAATTTGACCAATTTTTCATTTCTGATGTTCAGTAAAGAACGCTAAAGTATGATTCATGAAGTCTCGCATGAATCCGAATTTAAATAAAATTTTCGGGAAAAATATCGTTACGGAAGTTAATTGTTACGGAAGTTAATTCCCAGCAATAAAAGTTAAAATTCTCTTCAATAGTTAAAATCAAAGTTTGTTTTAGGATATAAAAAAAAAAGTATGAAGCATTTTGCTCCCGAAATAATAAAAAGAAAATTATACCTTTAATGCAAAAACTTTCCTGAATTACCGTTACGGAAGTTAAATTTTTAGGAGAGACAATTGTTTTTGTCTAATTCATTTTGTTATGTTGAAAATGTAATCGTCTTACATAGCTGACTCGCAACTAGAATCGACAATATAAGGTTCCGTGGTCTCTTTCAGATAAGTTTCAGTTCTTTTTGAAATTACGGAAGTTAATCGATTTTAAGCGACATGCTTATGAATTCGCATGAAAGGGGATTCATGCATTTCTTTGCAAGAAGTGGTTTGATTTCTTTTTATATAGGATAATAGACATTTTTCAACATTCAATGCAATCTATTTGGAACAATTTTACGGCTGAAAATTTCATCTTGAAATTTGTAAATAAATGAAGCGACATAAAGATTTGAAGTGGAATACGTTTTTCAACATAACATTATGTTCATATCAAAACTTTAACTGCATAAATACAGAGTATCAGTGAATATTTACAAAACTATGTGTGTATGTTAAGTCTTAGAAGTGAAATCGACCTTTAAATTTATAGTTAAGATATTATGTGACGCCAGTCTCAATTTTGGTTCGCAATTTACACAGCGCTGAATACATCCAGTTTTTCAGTGAGCAGTTCAGGGTAGACATTTTTTCCCGTGCGTCTGGGACGCAGTCCATCAACGTTTCCCCCCAAAGCGTCTGGGACACTCCAATACTGGTTTTCGTGGTGCAAAGGCGCAACGATGTATGTTTTTTCTTATATGTGAAATGTATGTGTTTGTAAAATTATTTTCTGATCATTATTTTCGAAAAACTTAATTAGGATTTTGGTGAAGTGTGTAAGATATTTGTACGAGAGTGAATACTGCTAAATTTTCTAAATTATTTAATTAAGTATTATTTATTGTTATTTCATTTGTTACAGTCATATTTACTGCTACATAATAAAGAAGTAAAACTGCAGGGCGTTTTTACTCTGATGACTACGAAAACAGTACAGTAACAAATCATGTTGTTTACCACCTCAACCATCCTGAGAGTCGATTGCAGCCTATCCTGGGGATAAGACGACTTTCCAATGGACATCAGATTCCCGTGAAGCTGGGACTTCCAACTTTCCACCCCCCTTTTTGGCCCAAATCTTTGCTGGAGGATTTCTCTTTGTGGTATTTGTGGTGTTCCTGGACATTGTGTGTATATGTGCAAACACTGATCTTATTTGTGACATATCGGTAACTTTATATCAAACATTATGCTGACATTGTTTGAATTGAATAATAGTCATTATTAGATTGATCATGAACAATATAGACATCATATTATATTGTCAAACATTTTGTGGTCTATTGGTGTAAGATTATTGAATATTTTCTCAATAGCACATTACTCTGTTCAGTGCATCAGTACCTTGAAAGGAAAGGTTAATGATTTTCATGTATGTGTGGTGTGCATGTGAATTTGAAAATTAATTATGCATTTTTTCTCATCTAATGCCATTTTTAACATGTGAATATACCTTCAAAATTTTATGGCATAATTTCATATGAAAATCACTACAGTACTGTCAATATGGAAACCGGAGGAAAACCCATAGTTGACGTGAAGAAAGGTGAGGATGAGACACTTCTTACAGAGGAAGGTGAGGAAAAAAGACTAAAATCAAGGACAGAAAAAGGCATGGAACAATTTTTTACATTTCTTAAGAAATACAGTTCTCAAGAACAAAAGGCTTGGTCAATGATTGAAGAAATCTTAGCTGATATAGATGAAAATATAGACCAAAAAAAAATTTAAAGATTTACGTAAGATTAAAGCAGAGCTTCAACAATTTAAACTTACTTATGCTGAATGTGCAAATGACTTTCTTTCATTTCTTAAAAGAACAAACATGAGAGAAAGTAATGAAGAATTTTCCATCCAAGAACCAAGGTTTCATAAACGTTCTGACATCATAGATCAGCTCATGAACCGTATTGAGGATGCCCTTCTGGATGCAGCAGATACCATATCACGAGGAAGTGGTTCTGAAGGATCTCGATCTCGCAGTAGAAGTTCTGTAAGTGAAACATCAAAGTCTCGTATTCAGTTAAGACAGAGAGCAGAAGCAGAAAAAACTAAATTAGCGTTGGTCAGAAAGCAAGTTGACCTTCAAACAGAGAAGTCAAAAATTGAAGGACAAATACAAATTCTTGATCAAACATGTTCAGCAGCAATTGCGGATGCAGAAGCTAGAGTGTTTGAGGAAGCAGAAAGTGAAACAAAAAGTGTAAGAAATTCGATCTTGGATGAACTACCCAAAGACAGAGGTCAGCGTGTTGCAGATTATGTGGAGAGTGTTTCTCGAGAACAAGAATCAAGTGTTAGAGCACATGTGAACCCAAATATTGTTCAACCAATTCTCTCAAGTTATAACTTAGATGTACCATTTACTCAGCCAAAGGAGGATTCGATGGAATCTGTGACTAAATTTTTGCTAAGGAAGGAAGTGTTGTTATCCCGATTTAAAAACTTTAATGATGAACCAGAGGCTTACAATGCATGGAAATTAAACTTTACTTCAATCGTAAAAGATCTGAAGATTTCAGAATTTGAGGAACTTCAGTTACTCGTGAGATGGCTAGGACCAGAGTCCTCTAAACTTGCAGTGGACATCCAACAAGCAAATGCTGGAAATCCTGAAGAGGGACTACGCCAGATTTGGGTAAGATTAGATGAGAGGTATGGGGCTATCGAACTCATCGATGATTCTTTAAAATCGAAGGTAGCTGCTTTTCCGCAACTTTCGACAAAAGATCCTAAAGAACTTTACAAACTGTCTGATCCTTTGACACAAGTTGATGGTGTGAAAAAGAACCCTAAATATTCAGCGGCATTATCCTACTATGACACCTCTCTTGGAATTGCACCAATAGTAAGCAAACTTCCTTATCAGTGGAGAGAAAAATGGATAAACAAGGCTTCAGAGTATAAGGAGCGTTATAGTGTTCCATACCCACCATTTACATTCTTTGTGAAATTTATACAAGACTTATGCCGTGTGAGAAATGATCCTGGATTTCAGTTCAGTGAACCTACAAAGAAAGAAACTAAAACCAAAAACACTGGTCTGATTCGTTCAAGAAAAACTGATGTTAAGCCTAGCAAGTCAACAGGACAAAGAAAATCATGTTTTTTAGAACACAGAGTTGAATCAAATCATAATATTAAAGACTGTCGTAAGTTTCGTACCCTTCCTATTGGTTCGAGGAAAAAGCTTCTCAAGGAAAACGGAATTTGCTTTAGATGTTGTGATTCCAAGGAACACTTAGCAAGAGACTGTAATGTGAAATTAAAGTGTGACATGTGTCAAAGTGACAGACATTGTGGTGCCTTACATGTTAACAGTTCCCAGGGCGGGGAGAATAAAGAAAATTCGCATGGCGGGGAGAACAGTACACCATCATCTTTTACAACTAACTGTACTCAAGTGTGTTCACCTGCATTCAGTGGCAAATCTTGTGCAAAAATTATCTTAATGGACATTTTTCCAGTTGGCCGTGAAGATCTAAAGAAAAGAGCATATGTGATCCTTGACGACCAAAGCAGCAGGACACTTGCAAAGTCATCATTTTTTGACAAGTTTGGAATCCAGGGACAAGATATTTCATATACATTGTCGTCATGCAGTGGTTTGGCTATCGTCTCAGGGAGACAGGCTTTTGATTTTGTAGTATCCTCAAACAGAGTGATGAACAAATATACTTACCATCAATTATTGAATGTGATGACATCCCTATATCATACGAGGAGATTCCAACCCCAGCTGTAGTTAAACCATACAAACATTTATCAGACTTGGAGTCTAAGATCCCACCAATAGACGATAAAGCAGAAGTGCTTCTTATTGGACGTGATGTTCCCAATGCTCATCATGTACTGGAACAAAAGATTGGTAAACCAAATTTACCTTTTGCACAGAAGCTTCCCTTAGGCTGGGCCATTATAAGGGAATGTTGCCTAGGTAGAGTACACAGACCTCAACATGTGATTGTGAACAAGACTCAGATTTTACCGTCTGGACGAGGAACTCACTTTACCCCATGTTCATCAAATCTGAGAATCTCAACGTATCAAGACGATACAGACAATTATTTTTCATATGAGAATGGAATTCAACTTTCCCAGATTTTTAAACGCACCAAAGAT